AGGCAGGCACTTAGACTGCCATGCTAGCTTCTCAGCCATATATATATTTCAAGATATTTACAAAAAAAAAAGGAGGGAATCCATAAATATCAGAGCAGAAAGTAGTAACATTGAAACTAAAAAGATACTATAAATAATCAAAGGATCAAAGTCTTCAAGAGAATAAACAAAATGCACAAACCCTTAGCAAAAATTACCAAAGTAAGAACAGACCCACATCAATACAAGCAGAATGAAAAGGGAGAAAAGACCCAGCTGAAACGTGGAAGGTTGTTGAGAACTACTATGAAAACTAGACTCCAACCAATTGGAGACTCTTAATGACATGGACAAGTTCCTAGAATGCATAAGTTACCAAAACTGAATCAAGGAGACACAAAGTTGTTAAACAATCCCATAGCAGGAAATGAAATTGAGGCAATAATGACGGCCCTACCCACAGAGAAAAGCCCGAGACAGGTGGATTGATTGCTGAATTCTACTAGGCCCTCACGGAGGTTCGAACACCAGTACTTCCTTCGCTCTTTAATGAGTGTAAAGAGAAACACCTCACAAGCCATTCCTGTGAGCTAGCAGCACCCTGATTCCAAACTGGACAGGGACCCAAGTACAAAGAAGGCTATTGGCCAGTCTCCTTACTGCACAGAGATGAAAAATCCTAAACAAAACACAAGCAAACACAATGCACACAATCATCAGAAAACATTATAGATCAAGACTGAGAAGGATTCATACCAGGGATACAAGGCTGGCTCTACATCCATAAGTAGACAAATGTATTTATCAGAAAAACTAAAGCAAGTACAAAATCACAAGCTCATCTCAACAGATTTAAAAAAAAACAAAAACTGCCTTGGACAAAATCCAGCATCCATTCATAGTAAAAACAGATGTACAGGGATGACTCTCCATTGATGAAGGCCATTTACACCAAGTCTATGCCCACATAATAGTAAGTAGGGGCGCAGGAATTGTCCCCCTCTAACCCAGGAGTGAGACGAGGATGCCTGCTATCCCTTCCCATTCAAAGCAGTCCTCAGAGCATGAATGAGAGCAGTCAGACAGGAAAAGGAAGTAGAAGGGGTGAGTCAAGGAACAGCAGAAGCCAGATTGCCACAATTTTCAGACGACAACCTCCTTTACATAGAAGATCCAAAAAGTCCATCAGGGCCGGCCAAATAGCTCAGCGGATTAAAGTACCTGCAAGCAGGCGCAGGGGCCAGGGGTTTGATCCCTGGGGCTGCGGTGCTGGCCCAGACCCCGGGGCGCACTGAGATGGCGATTGAAACCGGATGTGGTGGCGCGCGCCTGTAATTCCAGCACTTGGGAGGCTGTAAACAGGAGGAGCACTGAGTCTGATATAGTGGTGAGACCCTGAACACCCTGTAGACCCTTCCCTAAAATACAAAAAAAAAAAAGTCCATCACATGACTCCTAGAATCAGTATCCAAATTCAACAATGTAGCAAGACACAATATCTGTAACCTGAGCCACGACATTGAAGACAGCAATGTGCAATACCACAACCACCGTCGAGGACCTTTCACTTGTTTTTGGTTTTTCTGGGGGTTTTGTTTTGTTTTGTTTTGTTTTAAATGTACATCATTTCTAATGTCTTATCTATTATTCTTATTCTCTCTTTAAAATAAATTTTAAAAAATAAAAAGAACAAAAGTTTCAAGGTTTCTGGAAGGGAAGAGTTAATGCTGTAACTGTTCGGTTAGTCTTACGTGCCTATATCTGGAAGTCTGAGCACCAAATCTGGTGATGACAATACACAATAAAACAATCACTGTTAATTTCCTGATCTTTTGAAATTCTGTACCACTTTCATTGTCTTATGGTGATTTGTTTTTGTCTTTATTCTTACTATTTTTTCTTTCCTCTTTAAAATAAAATTTTAAGAAATTTACATTCTAACTCAATACCATTATTATACACAAATAACAAATCCACCAAGATATAAATTAGGAAAATACAAGAGCCTCAATGACAGCATGCAAAATTAAATACTTAGGGATTAAACTAACCAAAAAAGTAAAAGACTTCTACATTACTGCAAATTAACTTATTTCATTGACTTACACTTAAAAATAGCCACACTGATCAACGTAATGCCATGTGTATCTTACTGTAATAAGCCCAAACTTATCCCATTAAAAAATAGTAGCTCATTACTGAGGTCTGCACCAAAGAGACCACGCTTAAGAAAGAAGATCCAAGGACCTCACTGTGCTCGGCAGCCAGTGTCCGACAGCATGTGAAGTCAGTGCAGTCATAGCCATGAGAAGAACAGATTCCGCGCATGCCCGCCCGGAAACTGTAAGGCGCAGAGGCAACGCCCCTGGGCTTTCCCGCAGCGCGGCTCCCAGCAGGCACCTGTATCCTGTCTCCCTGATGCTCCAGGGAGAAGGCAGATTGCGCGTCCCGGGAGAGCTCTGTCCCTCTGCGTCTGCTCCTGGAAACACCCAGAGCAGCATCACTCCGCGGACCACCAATCTGCTCAGAAAAGGCTTGGACCTTTTCTAGTCCGGTGCAAGCTGAAGACGTAAGAACAGGGCTTTCTGAATGCAGCCACCAGCGCTCTGACGGGAGATTCCAACAGGGCACAGAGAAGTCCCACGCTGCTCTCCTGCGTTCGGTGCTCCGTGCACTGAATTCACGAAAAATGCTACAAATCCTCGAAGAAAAGCTTTGCCGGGTCACTGCGCTTCCGGCCTGCACCAGGCAGAGGCAACTGCTTGCTCACCACCAGTAAGCAGCGTCCTGGCGTGCGGGCTGCTTCTCCACAACATTCCGCCCTCAGGCTTTCTGCTAATTGCAGTGAAGGCGGCGGGCACAGAACCAGTGGATGCCCTCATCTTCTTTTCCTCTAGCCCTCGCAGCCAGCTACACTCGGGCACACTTGAGACTCCCAGTTGACTCAGGTGAGCTTCCGAGTCGGGCCTCTCCCCGCTGTCCCACAGGATCTCCCTACTCGTCATGGTTCAGGTGTGAGAGGGCCACTCACTGGCAGTGAGTGCTTATTGTGACCATTTGGGTGTGCCTTCGAGACAGGACAGACCTCATCCATGAGTGGAGACGTTGGCTCTGGGCTCGGGCTGGCCACAGAGCACGTCCAGGAGTGGGTCAGGGCACCGAAAAGCGAGCCCACGGAGCCAGCGCCCCACCTCACCTCCTGGTGACGCACACGCACGCACTGTGCACATCGTGCTGGGCCTCAGTGCCTTTCTAGCTCTCCAGAGATCACCCGCACAGCCTCTGTCCCTCCACCGGCCTGCCTGCCCTCACTGAGGGATGCCTCACTCCCAGCAGCCAGCCCCACTCACCTCCTCTCTCCTCACTCCTCAGGACACCCTGTGCCCTGTGGGACCTCAGAGGCGTCCGCCAGATTCAGTCTGAGCATGCCAGTGCCCCCAGACAGACAGTCGCGTCTACCTGGGCAAGTGCCTAGCGTCCTCTGTCCCCTTTACTACACAGGCACCATGGAAGGCATCCAAGAAGGGCTTTATTTTAAATTTTTATTGACATCGAGTATTTACATATTTACATAGATGAGATCCTGTTGGTGTTTGGTTCTACACACCCAAGCAGGGAGCGAGTGGGAGTGATTGGCACAGCCACCCTGAGAGCACCACTGATTCTCTTCATGACCAAATCCTCCCTCAGGGAGCACACAGAGGCCACCCTGCACTGCCACCACCTGTCCTCCCTGCAGTGTGGGGGGCACAGGGCCACCCCTCCAGCCGTGCAGCGGCCACTACCCAGCCGATGCCCCATCTCTGGAGCCCCTGGCTGCCCTCAGCTCTGGGGCATCAAGTGTTGTGGATTCTACCATGTGGGCTATCACGCCATGAAATGCACCCTTAAACACTACACATGTGCCAGGGGTCACACTCACTGCACTTGACCCGCCTTCAGTTACAGGGACAGCCACATTACCTAAGCACTCTGGGGTCATTTAAGTGTACAGCTGCTCTGTTCCCCAAATCGGATGAATTGAAACATAATAAATGCATTCTTCTTCTTGAACTACAGGACTGGACAGATGATGGTTTTCCAATAAGTCTTCAGGGGCACGTGAGGCTGAGCTTGCCCAAGCTGCTCCCTGTGGACCTCTGACTTCACGCAGGGCCTTCTCCTTCCACCCTCTGCATGGACCTGGAGTCCCAGGAGCTCTTCCCCACCCTGCTGTGTGGCCCCCACCACTGCAGACCACTGTCCCAACACAGCACCTCCAGACCCCAATTGGGACCATGGCCATGTGACCTCCTCACACCAGGGCCTGGGCTCAGCACTGGAGACGCAGAAGCAAACAAGGCAAAGAGAAATGGTGGTTGCCTGGAACTTTTAATCTGGTGAGGGGAGGTACTCCAACTTAATAGGGTGTGGCCAGGTGGTGGTTACTGAAAAAGTCCAGGAAAGGGAAGAGAGGGAGCTGGGTGTGTGGCATTCTGTAAGCCTGGAAGGAAGTGCTGGGGTAAGAGATGACTTTGGAAGATGACCTGACAGGGGCCAGGAGGGGTGTGATGAAGTCTGCAGAGGGGACAGTGCAGTGTAGTGGTGCACTGACGTGGCAGGGTGGGGCAACAGAGTCATAGGCCACAAACAGGGTCACAGACACGGTGAGGAGTCCTGGACTCTGGGTGTAATTAATGAGAAGGCGGAACTTCCCCGACTCTGTGGATGCAGGCTGCAGCTTCAGAGCCCTTGCCCTGGTGACCCAATGTACGCTTCGCCCCACTAAGAGTCTGGGCGAAGCCAGACTGGAAGCGAGGCTGCACGCTCAGCCCCAGCTGGGAGCCGCGCACTGTGCTTCTCCCCTCTTCCCAGGGGGGGCTGCCCCCTCACACCTCAAGTTGCTGTCAGGAAGGTAGCGCACAGTTGTGCTCCCAGCACTTGGTGAGCACTGCGTGGACGCGTGTTTCCTGGTCACTGGCCGATGTAACATTGCAACTCCATGCCACGCTGCCGGCTGGCCTCCTGCTCCTTCACTGGCCAAGGCCATGGTGGACACTGCCAACACAAGCTCCCCGGGTGTGTTTGTGCTCCTGGGCTTCTCGGCCCGCCCATCGCTGGAACCTGTGCTGTTTGCAGTTGTCGCCGCATTCTACGGGGTGTCCATCGTGGGCAACACCATCATCACGCTGGTCTCCTGCATGGACGTGCGTCTCCACACACCCATGTACTTCTTTCTCGCCAACCTGTCCTTTCTGGACGTGACCTTCACTACGAGCATTGTCCCCCAACTACTGGTCAACCTCAGCAGGCTTCGGAATACCATCAGCTACGGCGGCTGTGTGGCCCAGTTCTACATCTCACACTGGCTGGGGGCCACGGAGTGCGTCCTGCTGGCTGTCATGTCCTACGACCGCTACATGGCTGTCTGCAGACCACTGCACTACACGGCCCTCATGCACCCGCGGCTCTGTGTGGGCTTGGCAGGCCTCTCCTGGCTGGGTGGTCTCACCACCAGCCTGGTGGGCTCCACACTCACCATGTTGCTGCCCTTGTGCGGGAACAACCACATCGACCACTTCTTCTGCGAGATGCCACTCATCATGCAGCTAGCCTGCGTGGACACCAGCCCCAATGAGCTGGAGATGTACCTGGCCAGCTTTGTCTTCGTGGTGCTGCCCCTGGGGCTGATCCTCGTGTCCTACGGTCACATCGCCAGGGCCGTGCTGAGGATGCGGTCCGCTGAAGGGAGGAAAAAGGCCTTCAACACCTGCTCTTCCCACGTGGCCGTGGTGTCCCTGTTCTACGGGAGCATCATCTTCATGTACCTGCAGCCGGCCAAGAGTGGCTCTCACGAGCAGGGCAAGTTCGTGGCACTTTTCTACACGGTGGTGACTCCGGCGCTCAACCCTCTCATCTATACCCTGAGGAACAAGGACGTGAAGGGGGCACTGGGCCGCCTGGCACTGGGGACCTGCAGTGCCAGGGGAACACAGGGCTAGAGAATAGCAGAGGCACCCAGCACTGCTGAGGAGGGCGAGCAGGGCGGGACACCAACAGTGACTCTTCCGGATGGCAGGACGTCATGAGGGCCACCATGGAGTCCAGGAGGACATTGGACGCATGCCATGCACCATGCCCAGGCCAAAGTGAAGAGACCATGCTCTGCCTCCACTTTTCATTAGTCACCCAAACCTTAGCTGAACTGTTTTACTGTGCGTTGCGATAGCCATCACATGCCTGTGGGTGTCATCTTGTTAATGCTGCTGTATCTGTGGATTAGATACATCTGCATTAATTTTTACATGACTTTCTTGATTGTTTACAATAATCTCTGCCATGGAGGGTGCCCGAGCTGTGCAAAGCATTTTGGCCTTCCCAGTGTGCAGTGAGTCGGTGACACAGACACCCGTGGGTCCACAGAGATGGGCTCACGGCAGGAGCCGTCAGCGCTGTGCTCAGAGCTGAGTCTGGGCCGGTCGGAGATGTGCACATTGTTACGTAACCCTGTCCTGTAGTAAGAAACACAGATTTGGTCCCAGCTTGGACACAGGATCCCTAAAGCCAGTCCCGGGGGAGGGAGGGGGCTGGGACTCCCCTTGTGCAGAACAAGACCCTAAGCACAAATACATCTGAGAATCAGCAGCCCCCATAAGCGAGGTGTGGGATGGAGAAAGTGTCTTCCTGCGCTCCGCAGACACTCTGGCCCGTATCCACACCAAGAGCCTATCCCGGGGGACACACACCTGGCTCCTTGACCTTCCCTGGGGGGAGAGAGAGCCCCTGGCCCTGCAGGGTCTGAAGCGAGCTCTGTGAGCTCCACGTGGGTAACCTTGGAAGGGAGCTGCCTTCTGGGAGGCCCAGTTGCCGCTGTGGAAACCCCAGGCTTTTGGTGTCCAACGGGTGTGATCAGAAACAGTTGTCCTGCGGAGGAGTCTCAGGGCCCCACTGTCCGGGGCAGAGCTCGGAGCCGCCTCTTCTGTGGGCAGTGGCTTCCCAGTCGCGCTGAGCTGGCTTATCTGTGGCTCCAGAGCCATGGTGGAGACCCTCCGGGTCAGCTCGCGACCGGTTTCCAGGACACCCGAGGAGCCACGCCCTCGTGTCTCCGCTTGCCCTTCGCGTACATCCAGTCGGCACTGACCACCGCTAAAGGAAACCTACTGCAGCACAGCACCGTCTTGAGAGAGACAAGCCACGTTCCCGGCCAGCACTGGCTGTTTGATACAGCTGAGGATGTGGCCCTGAAAAGATTAGCAAGCAGTGTGGGCGCCCGCTTGAGCCCCGCACTCGCCCGCGGGGCCTTCACCTGCAGTGGGGTCGCGCGGGGCTATTCTTCAGGCGACCTCGGCCTCCCCCCACTCAAGGACCTGCGCCTTGCAAACACGTCTCCTTCCTGACTGAAAGCATCCCTCCGTGAGGCTCCCGGAGGACTTCTGGGCTCAGTAACAACAGATGCCGGGAGACCTGGACTTGGACAACCCTGCAAAGACTGCGGCGGGCAGGAACAGCTCAGCTAGCAGCCGCTGAACTAGCGCTGTGCGTTTCTGCTGGTGTGAGCTCGGCGGGTGCGTGGACAGCGCGGCCCAAGCTCCCGTGCATGTGAGCGTTCGACGTCAAGCACGGACAGCGCCAACTCCTGACAAAACCAAGCGCAGCCAAAACGTTGGTCCTTTCACACATCCTCCTCAGCCCAGTCCCCCCATGCTTGCCATCCGTGAGCGGGGTTAACGAACACCGGCCGCAGTTTTTATGTCCTTTCCTCACCTCAGTAGCATGCCTGGCGCACACTGACTGCTCAATTTCACCAGGCACAGTTTGGCGCAAGTCGTCCCGGTCTGCCAAACGCTCACTACAGGACAGCAATGAGTTAGGCACCACCGCATGCCCATGTTACAGCTGAGGAAACTGAGTCCCGTGGCGTTGTGGAGGCGGAAGTCCCGCACCTTGGCATGCGCAGTGGGCTCACAGCACTGCGCGCTCCCTGCGCGTTTTCTCCGTGAAAATCCTCTGTCCACACTGACCCAGCCTCGACGGCGGTCCTTCAGTCAGCGCTGCGTCCGGCTATGCAGTGGGCCTTGAGCTGTGTCTTCAGTTTGAATAAACATTTCATTTGAAATATATGTCGGTGTCTTTCTCATTTTCCCATCGTGACCCCAGAACACAGATCTCGGCCCAGGTGTTGAGCCACTCCCACTGCCTGGGTCACATCCCCGTGTATCAGAGGAAGAGGGAAAACAGGTATGGACAGCAGCCTGGCCTCAGAACCCGCCTGCGGAACCAGGAGGCAAGTGCGGTCCTGCTCGCCCCACCTGTTCTGCACCGAATCGCCCGCTGCTCCGCGCCACTCCCTTCTCCGAGGCAATCCTCTGTGCCCCCATCCCCGTCCAACACCCACAGAGCACTCCGAGCCCAGAGCACAGAATCCCCTCCTGTCTCTGTAGGAGCACAGGGTCTCTGCTCCTCCATGAGCCCGCGGGGAGACCGGAGCTGCGCCGCCCTGCACTGCCAGCTGCTGCTCCACATGGAGGCCCTGAGGAGCCTGCTGCAAAGAGCTTGCCTTTGGAGACAGCCAGGCTGGTGACCAACCTTCGCCATCACCTGTGAGGCCACTGAAATAACTGGGATCCCAGGGAGATGTGGATGTCAGTGTGCCACTCGAGTACAGGTAATCCAGAAAAAGTCTCCCAAGATGTATGCTGGTCTAGGCAATCTTCCAAGGTAACTGGAATTAAAGTCAGGGAGGATGCAAGGGATCCTACAGGACTTCACTTAAACCAGGGCTCAATCAGGACCTCCAGGAAAGGAGGGAGAGAGAGGGACAGTTTCACGGCCTGCCACATGCCAGCAGCAGCAGTGCCAGGCAGAAGGCAGGACCAGCGCACTTACCTGGCTCCGAGCACCCTTGTATCTCTCGCCATGGGTGCCTGTGGGCTTTGCCCAATCACAGCCCGCTCCTGTGCTGCCGGCAGCACCCACACAGATGGGCACAGAGTGCAGACAGGAAGGTGGTGCCTGTCAGCATCATCACCAATGCACATGACGCACATTACCGGTAATGGTGCGCCGAGGAAGTGCTCACAGGTGGCATACGGAGCACGTGGATGTGACGCCTTGGTCCTGGCCATGTCTACACACGTGGGGCTCAGCGCCACAGAGGGAGGCAGCAATCCTGGTGGAGTCTACACTGAGAGAGCCCCGAGCAGACATGGTGTGTGCCATCCCTGGTGCAGTCATCCAGAGCAGAGATGGACACAGAGAAGATTGGTGGCCAGCCACTGAGCTGGGGGCACTCAGTGACTCGGGCGCATGTGAAGGAAGAGGGAGGAGTGACCTGACGCCAGGAAGGGAGCTGCCAGGGTGGGGCTAAGAAGAGGACACCTCGTGTGCCCAGACACGACAGAGGCCAGACCTCAGGAAACAAAGCCTCAGAGACCCAGCACTCCGGGCAGGAGGCCTCGCCCTGGGGGAAGGCTGAGCTCTGGCAGCAGGAGCGCCTCAGGGGGCGACTCTGCAGGTGTGCTTGACGCATGATGAGTGTCCAAAGGTGCGTGTTCACTGCGCTAAACCACACACTGCCATTAGGCCTCCCCACTCCCTCCCTTGCCAGGAGCACACTTATCCTATCATTCCTGCCACTTTCTGAAGCAGTGGTAGAAGTCCTCCTTTGCATCCTGTTGCACTTTTGTAGCTATCTCCATGTCCTCACTGAAATAAAACCACTTACCTTTCATGGCCACTTAGTCTTTGGGAAGGACCCAGAATTCACATGGAGCCAGGCCTGGTGAACGGAGTGGACCAGGACACAGGGCTGTGCCTCTAGGAGCTGCCTTTCCACTGGACAGCACTTGGCTCTGGCCTTTACTGTATTCATGACAAACTTGACAATCAAGAAAGAGGAATTCTAGAAATGCTTCAGAAAGTTGGGGGTGATGGGATAAGTGCTTTCTGGTGTGAGGGAAGATTTTGAAAGGTTCATGGCAGTGTGTATTTGCTATAATAAATTTGAGTGTGAACCTTACTCTATATTTTAGTCATGTCCTGTATGTCTTTGAAGTTGTGCATAGAAATACAAGTACTCTCCTGTGCCTTAACCTTCTTAGCCTGTTTTATAGTGTTTGAATTTAGGCTTAAGTTTGCAGTCTATTCTTTTCTGTGTGTGCGCGCGCGTGTGTGTGTGTGTGTGCGTGTGTGTGTGTGTGCGTGCGCGCACATGGGTGACTGGAGGGAAGTGAGAGTCAGAGAGATGGAGAAAAGAGGAGACACAGAGGTTATATACTTTCCCCAATAATTACACAGTATCCCCAAAACAGCATGACTACTTGCAGTTTTATTACTACGTAGAAACTATACCTCCACCACATTAAGTTTCATAGATACACAGGTTTCTGAGAAACATCCGCTCTATTGGACAGAAAATGCACTCATTCATCCCCATGCATAACACCGAGGTAGTAACTCTGTACACAAAAACCATCTTGTTGTCTAAGAGGGCACAACTTCTGCCTCTGTTCTGTTCTTCAAACTCACACTTTTCATAGCTATTCTGCTGTTTTCCTCCACCAAAGTAAAGTCACAAGTTCCTGTCTTACTCAACCAAATCAGCATCAGCTAGGACACTGGTGAGGACTCGACACCTCTTGTTTCTACATCAGGAGAAGTGGCATGGGTGGGACAGAGTGTGGTCCTCGGCACAGCCACGCTGGTTGCTGGCCTGGGCCTTCACCCACAACCAAGTGTCCCAGCCACAGCTCCTGAGAAGGCTGCTGTCTGTGTGCGAGGTGAGCACTGAATTAGACTCAAGGATGCTTCAAGAACTGAACTGCTCACAATTTGTGAAAGCCAAATCTTGGAAACAACCAAGATGCCCATCACCTGAGAAACGGTTGAAAAAGATGTGGTATTTTTACACAATGGAGTACTATTCAGCTATTAAGAATGATAAACTGGAAGCCTTTATATTGAAGTGGATGCCACTTGAACATATATTCATAAGTGAAATAAA